GTAAGGGATATATATGTGAGATTGCTGTACTTCTCCACTTAGTTTTTTTTTGTTATTGTAATTTTAGTGGATTGTAAATTGCATTTCTTAGTGTAATCCCTAGTGGATTTACACTGTAATTCTTAGTGGATTTACACTGTAATTATATTTGGATTTGCACTGTAATGTTCATCGGAATTCCGGTGCATTTTCTTCGTGGTTTTTACACTGTAATTATGTTTGGATTTACACTGTAATTCTTAGTGGATTTACACTGTAATTATATTTGGATTTGCACTATAGTCTTCATCGGAGTTCCAGTGTATTTTCTTCGTGGTTTTGCACTGTAATTATATTTGGATTTACACTGTAATATTCATCGAAATTCCAGTGTATTTTCTTAGTGGATTTAGACTGTAATAATATTTAGATTTACACTGTAATCTCAATCGGAATTCCAGTGTATTTTTCTTAGTGGGTGAAGTGTAATTCTCAGTTGGTTTCCACTGTAAATTGCAGGGGATTTCTTCACTCTAATTCTCAGTGGGTTTCCACTATAATTCCACTTATTAGCTGTAATTCCAATTGGATTTACAGTGTAAATCAAGTTGCACTGATATTGTCAGTGGGTTTAGTGTAATTGACGGTAAGTTCTTATTTTTTGATTTTTAGTTTATTTTAGTGGTTTTTTACAGTGTAATCCTTACTGGAATTTACACTGTAATGTGTAGTGTTTTGTTTCATCTTTTGTAAATTACAGTCTATATTAATCTGAATACCTGTGTACTTACCGTCTAAGTTAATGTACATTAACCCTGTAACTTACTATCTCATTTTCAGTCTATTTTTCAGTGTATTTACACTGTAAAGTCATTTGGATTCTATGTAATTACACCGTAATGTTAGTGCACTTACACTCTATTTTCCTGTGTAATTTTATTTGTAATTGTAATGATTTACATATGTAATTACAGTCTAAGTTAATGTAGATTTTTAACCCTGTAACTTACTATTCTATGTACTGTAATTTCCAATCTATTTTCAGTATTTACACTGCAAATTCATTTGTATTATATGTAATTACACTGTAATTTTAGTGCACTTATACTCTATTTCCCTGTGTAATTTCAGTGAATTACATTTGTAATTGTAGTGATTTATATTTGTAATTACAGTTTAAGTTAACTGTAAATTTTAACCCTGTAACTTACTATATCCTATGTATTGTAATTTCCAGTTTTTTTTTCCAGTGTATTTACAAGGAAGGTCAGAGTAATTTACAACCAAGTTGTAATGTGACAAAATATCGCAGTAATCTCTCAAGATATGTTGATTTCTGTATTTTTTTAGTGTAAGTACAGTGTGTAGCTTAAGAAATTTGGATCATACATCTAGGTGTTTTTTTCTACTCAAGACTTAAATTTCTGTACTGTGTGGTGTGTGCACATGACAGTTACTGGGGTCAAATAGCAAGAGAATTAAGTTGGTCATTTTGGCTTCATCTTACATGAAGGAGTGCATCTTCATCTTGCTGGTATGACTTCTTGATTCTGAAATTTTTGAAGATAATGAAAGCACTCAGTAGTGTTTGTTAGCAAGTGTACTCTACTCATTTTCCAATTTTCACTGCACTTTATAAGCTGTTTACAGTGTAAAAAGTTGAGATGCAGTTTTACAGGCATGATTTAAGATGATTACTGTTTTTTACACTGTAAATCTACTATAAAATGTCACTGTAAATTGTAGCAGTTTACTGTGTAATCCTATTGTAAATTACATTGTAATTGTCACTGGAACAATGGTTTTTCATTGTAATTCTACCGTAAATCAGCATTGTAAATTTGCGGCAACTCTACTGTGAATTATAATTTTAAATCTACTGCAGTTGTACTGTAAAAGTCACTGTAATTTGCTAAATTGATCATTGCTCACAGTACTTTGATTAATCTTTTGTAGAGTTCCTGTTTTATGTTTCCGGTACTGTGTAAATGGGGAATTTGACCATGCCTTTTCATGCCAATGTTGATCCCATGACCTCATTCTCCTTTTCTAATCTGTTTTTCTTAATTTCCTGCAATGTAATGCTAGTTTTTCCTATGTTTTTCATGTCCACGTTTCGTGCAGACTCTGTGAAGTAGGAGAGGGAACTGTTCACAGGGAGGTAGAGAAGATTGACAGGAGAGGATCTCTTACATGTGCATCCATGATTTTCTCAAGGTTTGCCCTCTGGATATTGGAGGAATCCCCCCTGTGATTTCTTCTTTGATGGGGTGGACAAGCACATCGACACATTCAGGGGACAGGAACAAAACGGAGGACATGCGACACTTGTTAAACTCTGTGTTGCCAAAAAATATGACTGAAAACTAATTGGATTTCAGAAGAGGATTTTTGCAGTGTCACTTTAATGCATCTTTCACTATAATTCTCAGTGGGCATGATAGAAATTACTGTGTTTTTTAGTGAATTTTATCTAAATGCTTCATATGAAACACACAAATGCACAAAACAACAAGTTTTCCAGAGAAGGCTTGCACAAAAAGAAAGTTAATACAGCTTTTTTTTTTACGGAAAAACTAAGCTATTCTGTTCACAATCTGGTCTTGAACGGCACATAGTTTTTGAGCGATTGGGTGATTCCCTGCACGGACGCCACGGTCACACCCACCGTCACCGCGAAGCACACGAAACTCAGGCTCTGTAGCGCCACCCACTTCCACGAGGACCTCTTCACTTTGCTCTGCCGGATGTACATCTCGACAGGGAAGTAGACGGTGAGCGGCCAGAACCCGAGCGCGCCGAGGAGCCCAAGGATGTCGTTGAAGAAGGGCAGCAAGATGGCGAGCACCGTGCTGACCACGACGAACGCCGTCCTCCCCACCATCCTGAACATGTTGACGCCGAACCTGTCGGCGCCGAAGGGATGGTACTGGCGGACGACGAAGTCCGAGCCCGGCCACCGCGCCGCGGCCCAGCTCTCCACGGCGGCGTAGATGGGCTGGCAGTAGACCTGATAGGCGCCGACGAGGTGCACGACGATGCAGACGTTGGCGAAGTCGATGAGCCAGAAGGGCTCGTAGAAGCCGAAGCCGGTGAGCATGTTCCCGGGCGCGGCGTTGCCGAAGGCGGCGTAGCCGAGGCAGCCGCAGAGCATGTAGAAGGCCGTGGTGGTGGAGACCCCCATGAGGTTCGCCTTCCTCATCGTCTTGTTCTCGGCCGGAGGCGCCCTCACCGTGTCCTGGATTTCTATAAGGACCATGGAGTACGAGTAGGCGAACGCGATGTTGCCGAGCGCCTGCAGTGTCAGCCATATCTTCTGGGCCGAACTTGCCACGTCTACCCCAATGGCAGTGCCACCCATGGTCGTCTTGCCCGTAGGGCCTGATATGGTCTGCGCCAAGGAGAGGCCAACGCCGATCGTGGAGTAGGAGAAGGACATGACCGCGGCCAGGATGGACAGCCACGCCATCTCATGGAGGTTGGGGAGCTGGGAGAAGACGACCTGGGAGACCCCGAACACGACCATGTACATGGTGGTGTACACGCCGCAGTCGGCAGAGTGGCCGCCCTTGTGGAAGCAGTTGGCCTTGTACAGAGCGGCGGCGCTGGTCGACGCCGTGATGGTGTACCCGATTGCGGTTCCCGACGAGGTTGACGTACTGGCAGAGGCCGCAGAACCACACTTGGCCGCTGCCTAGGTAGGACTCGACGGCCTCCATGTAGGTGTAGTTCCTCTTCCCGGCGACGGCGTCGCCGCTGCGGTAGCAGTCGGTGAGGAGCACGGAGGTGTAGTACGTGACGCCGGCGAAGACAACGAGCGTGGACGGCCCGGCGACCCAGCCGAGCTGCGCCATGGACCAGGGCAGGGACAGCACGCTGGAGCCGATCACCGCCGTTATGATGTGCGCGCTCGCCGTCCATACCGTTCCCATTCTCTTGGGCTTGCCGTCGTCGTCGACGGAACCGTCGCCGATGATCCGCAGACGGTGCTCCGCCGGCAGTCCCCCGATCTCCACATCGACGTCTGCTAGGGCCATCTCGCGCGCTTCAACTGGTCTGGGGGAGCAGCGATGCGCGCGCCGGGCAGCATCTTATAACAGCATGGCGATTTACTCCGTTCCGTCTTCAGTCGATCAAATTGCCTAAACCGACTCGGATCGGATGACTATATGCATGTACTACTCGGATTTGATTTGTTCCC